TTCAGAGATTAGGCAGAAGATAAACTTTCTGTAGCATTAGATAAAAGAGAAAAAAACCCAGGACACTCACCACTCCCATCCAGTTCACTTCTCCATGTTTTGATGCCTCACTATAATCTTTCTGCTTTTGTTCACTTTCCAGAGTCCTCAGATTGTTCTTTGTATATCTTGTTCAGAGTTTTTAGTTGTAATTAGTGGAGGATATGGGCTATAGTTGTCACACTCCACCTCGACTGGAACTGAAACTGATAGTAGTATTCAAAAATAGTCTTTTTTTAGAAAACTTTTTATTAAGATTATGATAGTTTGCAAATCAAAACTACACTAAGATATCACCTTACACCTGTTAGAATGGCAAAAATATCCAAAAAAAAAAAGTGATAAATGTTGGAGAGGTTATGGAGAAAAAGAAACCCTCATACACTGTTGGTGGGAATGCAAAAATATTCTTTTTTGAGGATAAATAAAAACTTGGTAGGCTTATGTTGTTCCACAAAGTTATTTTTGAAATTTATTGGTACAATGAAATTGGGAAAGTCTTGGGTGCTTAGATAGGACACCAAAGCACAATCAAAAACAGAAAATTAGATGAAATTGGGCTTCATGAAAATTAAAAATTTTTGCTTCAAATGAAACCATCAAGAAAGTGAAAATACAACCCATGGGATCCTCCCAAAGAATGAGAGAAAATATTTGCAAATTATATATTTGATAAGTGTCTAGTATCCAGGGTATATAAATTAAAAAACCTCTTACTACTCAATAATAAGAAGACAGACAACCCAATTAAAAAGGAGCAAAGGATCTGAATAGACATGTCTCCAAAGAAGATATACCAATGGCCAATGAGCACATAGAAAGATGCCCAACATCATTAGTTATCAGAGAAACGCAAACTGAAAACACCATGTGGAACCACTTTACGCCCACTAGGATGACTATAACAAAAAGATGGACAAAAACAATTGTTGATGTGAATGTGGAATAATTAGGACTTTTATACACTGCTGGTGGGAATGTAAAATGGTGCAGCCACTTTGAAAAACAGTTTGGCAGTTCCTCAAAAAGTTAAACGTAGAGTTACCACATGACCCAGCACTTTTACTCCTAGGTATATACTCAAGAGAATTGAAAACGTGTCCACACAAAAACTAGTGCATGAATGTTCGTAGCAACACTATTTACAATAGCCAAAAAATGGACACAACCCAAATGTCCATAAACTGATGAATGGATATACAAAATGTGGTATATCCTTATTCAGCCATAAACATGAGTGAAGTGCTAATATATGCTACACATTAATGAACTTTGGAAACATTATACTAATTGAAGGAAACCAGCCACAGAAGAACACATATTGTATCATTCTGTTTATATGAGATGTCTAAAATAGGCAAATATATAGAGACAAAAAGTGGAATAGTGGTTGCCTAGGGCTTGGGGTAACTGGCACTGAGGGGAATAAAAAATGAGTACTAAATGGTAGAAGGTTTCTGTTTGTGATGATGAAAATATTCTAAAACTGATTGAGGTGATAGTTAAACAACTTTGTGTGTATTCTAAAAGCCATTGTGTTGTGTGCTTTAAATGGGTGAATTATATGATATGTGAATTATAACCCAATAAAGTTGTTACCCAAAAAAAGGTCTTGCAACAAATTTTCTTACCCAAGAGAGGATATTTGAAACCTGGAAAGCGGATAAGATTCCTGAAGGGGAGAATGTAGGAAAAGGAATATTTAGTTTTATAGGAGCTGAACCTTAGGAAGGACTCACAGTAAAGGGCTAGGAGGATAAAAAGAATACACCAAAGAAAGTAAAATAGCCACCAGATTGGCAAAGCCTTAAATGTCTGATAATTCCAAGTGTTGACAAGGATGTGGAAGACTGGGAATTCTCATGCACAACTGATGTCAGTGTAAAGTGGCATACCACTTTGGAATTGGAAGCATGCGTCCTATGACTTCCTTCTTTTTCAAGATTGTTTTGGCTATTCTAGATCTCTTGTGTTTTCATATGAATTTTGGGATCAACTAGTCAGTTTATGCAAGGAAGCTACCTGGGAATTTGATAGGGATTGCATTGAATCTGTAGATCAGTTTGGGGATTATTGCCATCTTAACAATATTTAGTCTTCCAATCCAGGAACATGGGATGTGTTTCCATTTATTTAGGTCTTCTTTAATTTCTTTCAACAGTGTTTGTAATTTTCAGTTTACAAGTCCTACCCCTCTTTTTAAAAATTTATTTCTATGTATTTTATTCTTTTTGATGCTATTATAAAAGGAATTATTGTCTTAACTTTACTTTTGGATTGCTCATTGCTAGTATCTGGAAATACAGTTAATTTTTAAAATATTAATGTTGTAAACTTGCTGAATTCATTTGTTTTTTAGCTTTAATAATTTTTATTGGATTCCTTGGGATTTTCTGTATACAAGATCATGTCATCTGCAAATAGAGATAGTTTCCTTCCAATCTGCATGCCTTTTATCTCTTTTTCTTTCCTAATTGCCTGGCAAGAAACGTCCATTACAATGTTGTACAGAAGTGGCAAGAGCAGACATCCTTGTGTTGTTCCTGATCATAGGGGAAAGATTTCAGCATTTCACCATCAAATATGGTATTAGCTGTGGATTTTTCGTAGATGTCTTTTATCAGATTGAGGAAGTTCCCCTCTATTCCTACATTTTTGAGTGTTGATACTACTACTTTGGATAACAGTTTGACATTACTTGATGAAGTTGAACTTAACCATATCCAACCACCAAGCAACTTCACTCCTAGGTATATACTTTAGAAAAAAGTTCTTGCATTTGTACACTAGAAGTGTACAGAAAGTTGATGTCAGGATTGTTTATGATAGAAATTGGGTTGAAAACATCTCAAATGTCCAAAGTAGAACCGGTAAATAAATTGTGATATAGTCATATAATAGAACACTATACGGTTGGCATTCTCAAACTTTATTATGCATAAATATTATCTAGAGTGCCTGATAAAACACAATTTCCTTTTTTATTACCTTACTAAACAGGTACTAGAATTTACCTTGAAATGTAAACTTTTCATAATGCAAATCAATAATAATGATTTTACACATTTCCTGAAACAAAACAGACACACACACACACACACACACACAATTTGCTGGGCCCCACCCCCAGAGTTTCTGATTCAGTAGGTTTGGTGTGGGGCCTGCATTTCTAACATTATGATTTTGTTTAAATGGCATTCAAATGCAGGCAACACTAAAAAATATATTGAGTATCTATAAAGAAGAGCAAGGGAATTACTGCACAAAATTCAGGGTGGTGTTTACGTCTGTGGGGAAGTGAGAAGGATGCAAATTGGCAAGAGTACATAGGAAGCCTCTAATGTGGTGATAGTGTTATGTTTCTTAACCCAAGTGGTGAGTACATGGGTGTTTGTTTTATCATTATTTTGTAAACTATACATATATGTTTTATATAATTGTGTGTGTGTATGAATGAATGATACACTTCACACTAAAAAAATGGAGATGTTATCTTTGGAGCTTGTAGGAGAACTGGACAGTGTAACAATAGGCAGACCAAGGGTAGGAAGAGCTTCAAGGGAGGCAGCATACTATAGTGGAAGGATTATGGCCTTTAGAGTCAGAGAGATCTGAATTCAAATTTCAACTCTACCACTTACCAATTATGTGACCATGGGTAAATTACTCCATCTGGGCCTCAGGTTCCTCATCTGAAAAACAGGATTCATAATACTAGCGTTGAAAATTTGTTGTACCTGGATCCTGTTTCCCAATAACCATTTGGTAAAAAGAAAAAGAAAAAAACGAACAAACAAAAATGTAAGGAAAAAGAGTGAGAAACAACAGTGAGAAAAATTACAGAGAAGACAAGGATATTGATGGTAGGGAGTAAGCTGATGGGTTTAACAGGAACTCAGTCATGACTTTTGAAAGTGTAATTCAAGATACAGTAAGGATGGAAAACACAGTGCAAATGTTTATAGAAGTGAATAGATGATGATACAATGAAAGCAAAGTGTTGTCCATTCTCTGGAGTTGTTTGGTATGAAATCAAAGAGAAAAACAGAATGTTAACTTGTGTGAGTATAGTAGATTCAAGGAAAACAGATCCTGTCAAGATCTGGAAGACCTTACATCTCTGCAGGTAAAAGCAAATTGAACCCAAGACATATTTCAACATGCCCATTAGGAAAGGTGGTAATGCAATAAATTAAAATTTGCAACCTTAGTTTATTTTTCGTATTGATGTCATCTATATTTGTAAACCCTTTTAATACCAGTGCTTACTTTCCCTAACTTTCCATTTTTAAGGCATGTCACACATGAATGATTATAATTATTTGCAGAGTTTGCAGCTAATGAGAATAATGTTCATATAGAGGCTAATTGGCTTTGTAGAGAGAAAAGTTCTATCCTGTGGGCATGGACTGCACTTTTGATCTTAGCCAGCTGTTTAAAGAAGTACCCTGTCAGGCAAAAGTGGAACCAGGCAAGAGATCACAGATGGCTAAGGGCCAGCTTACAAGGACTTGGAAAAACCAGACTATAGTAAGTAGGACAGGCATATCCTTTAGGAAAGACAATACGTTTTTTATTTCATTCGATTATTGTTTGCAAAGGACCTTAGTTGTTATTAAAAGCTCAAAAGAAAACAAACCTGATATTTGGGATTTTGCTTACCAAGACAAGAATATGGCCTTACATTCGCCCAGTTTAAGTAATGACCTTGCCATTAAATGATTGCCACTTAATGGAAATGTTTATATGTTCTTTTCCTTCTGTTATTTCATTGAGATTGAATACAATGTCAGAAAATATCCTCAAGGATAGACTGGATGTTATGATCTGATCTTTTATAATTTTAGTTTCCTTTGATCATGAGTCATGCCTGCTGTGGTTGAATGAAACAGGCAATTACTTCAAAATTGTCTTTTACATTCACAGTTTTAATATTATTGTGATTTCTTTGTTTAAAACAGGAACATTCACATCCAGCTGGGCTTTTCTTAAAGATGAAAATCCTCTTGAAGGGTGAAATAGCTAATGAAGAACTCCTTGAAGGTATCGTCTCTGTGTGTGAAGAGCACACAATTTTGAAACATCACCACCAATTTGTTGCATATAACATCTCTTGTAGTATACTAACAAAAGGTATAATTTGATGTGACTGAGAAGAAAATTGATCACGTAGGAAAGGGAGAAGATTGTCAGTCAGAAAGGGAAAGAGAAAGAAGAGAGACTAGTAGCAAATTTCATAGGTGGTAAAAAAAAAGAGCTAAATAAAAGCTATCAGATTTTTTTAGTCTAGCAGAGAATTGCAGCTGTCCAACTTTTCTGAAGTTGTCTACTACCATGAAGAAAGATTACCTATCCATGGAAAAAGCCTTTGTAATTCTCTGCTTTTTATAATTACTTGTGTAAACATTGCTATTTGTTTTTCAAAATTCTTCATGGACTAGAATGAACACATCACAAAGTAAACAGCTGATATATAGCTGTGGGTCATTTGGCAAGTCACTTAACTTTTCTATGCTTCAATTTCTTTGTCTTTAAAAGAGATATAATAATAATGTCTGCTTCATTGTGTTGTTCTGAGAATCCTATGAGAAAATGTATGTAAAGCATTTAGCACCATGCCTGATGCATAATGTGAAATACGTTACCTATTATTGTAGTCATTATTATTACTGTTATTACTACCATATAAAGTGAGGCAAAAAAAATCTAGGTACACTGGCTCCTTAACAGTATTTCAATTATGTTTAGTCATAAAAATAGTTTACTCTAAATTCTTTTAATGTGTACATGTTTTAATTTTTGTACTATATAAAAATATAGTTGCATTATAGAGCTGCGTTACTTTTACTATATAAAATTATATGTTAGTATAATAACTGATTATCCAGTAAATAATAACATTTTGTAATAACTTGGACAATAATCAAATTTGGAAGTAGCTCTAACTTTAGTGCTAATTTAGTACTGCTGAAACTCTCTGTGACCTCTAGAATCTTAGCCAATTAATAAGAGACCTCAGAAGCTGAAATGTATAGAGGATTTTTCATCTCTAGATAACTATCATCTCAGTATACACAGGTTGGAAAATGTTGGGAATGAGGAAGACAACTCTACTTATTTGCACTAGGAGAATAAACAACCCAATTAACCAATTAAAGGAAGAGGCTTACTCAAACTAATACAATATGGGAAGACCAGAGAGATTGTTGGAGTCACCTAATTTGAGGTTGATTAATTTTGGACTAGAATTCCCCATTGTAGTCTTTATCAAAATGTAGATAAGAAGCAGAGTTTAAAATAAAATTATTCTTCTCTACTCCTAGATTGTTTTTATGTCATTCCGTCTAGATACTCTTGATATTCAGAGTAATTTTTAAGTTGTAGTGTCAGATTACAAATTAGGAGACTTCCTGAATCCAAGTTTTCTATAGTTTAAAATAATAAAATTATCTTTTATTTTGTTGTAGAGAATGTATGAAACTTGCATTTTTATAGTCTGTTCGTTTCTTTCCTAGTGAAAGTACTTTACTCAGAATGGTCAACCTAACTGCTGGCATTAGAATTTCACTGATATTTTTTGTGGTAGAAAATGTAGAAATTAAAAAATTTACAAATTTTTTAATTATGAAAGGGTAGCACATACTCATTAAGGAAATATTTGGAAAATACTAAAAGTATCCATAGTCTCATCATCCACTGGAGTATAAGTTCCTTGACAGCAGGGATTTTTGTGTGTGTTTGTCCACTGCTGAACTCCCAACACCAAGCACTCTTCCTGGCACAGAGAATACACTCATTAGTTGTTTGTTGAATAAATAATTAATCTAAACACAATCACTTTTTAGCAATTTGATGATTTATTTTCAGTAATGTTTTTATCTTAGTTTAACTTACTTGTTTTATAGAATTGTGACCATATAGTACACACAGCATTTGTTTTCTGATTTTTCACTTACTAATCTTATAAATGTTTTTCATATTAGTGCATATCCATTTTTTATGTTGTTTCATATTCAACAATTTTAATGGTTGCATAATAGTTTATCACTACTCTATAGTGGACACTCAGAGTATATTTCCTTTTTATTATTATAATAATCTACACTGCTTTTAATATCTTTGTTCATAAATATTTTTCCATATTTATTTCAGATGATTTTTCAGAAGTATAATTTCTGAATTAAAGGGAATAATAATAATAGCAGCTGTCATATATTGAATACCTATTAAGTGTTAGGTGCTTTGCTATGTAATTTACATACATTATCTCATGTAACCCTCTCAACAACCCTAAGAGACTGGTGATATATTCCCCATTTTACAGAAGACAAAACTAAGATGCAGAAAAACTAAATAACTTGTCTATGGCCATACAAGTGGCAAGTGGTTTCAAATATAGGTCCATCTGACTTCAGATCCTAAGCTTTTAACCACTGTGTTCTTAGCATATAATATTGCTAAACTGCTTTTCAAAGGGATCGTACCAGGTTATTTTGTCATCCATATAGAAGTGCCTGTTTCACTGCACTTTCTCTTTCATTGGATATATTACTTTATAAAAAGATTTTGATAAATTGTGAGGCAAGTCATGGTATATTACAAACATTTAGAAAGTAGATTTTGAACAGAGGAAAATTATTGAAAATAGCTAAGCTTTTAAGCTTCCTCCAAAATGAAACTGATATGATTATTTCACTTTTTCTCTTTGTTAGCTGTCATGGAAACACTACATCTTGACGCGTCTTTAGATGTCTGTCTGAACATTGCTAAACTGCTGATGGATCATGATAGGTACAGAAGAATCGATTTTCTTTTCTCTAAAGACTAACATTTTTCTCAAGTTTCCATTTATATATATATGTATATATATCCATCTGTATTCACAGAGCACAATATTTGCCATTGTGCCAATCAAATTAGAAAATGGAACTGCTTGCTTGATGATTTACACAATCAATAGTCAAGTTAACTTAAAAATTTATATTAAAAATTTTAAAAATAAATCAAACAAAAAAGGAATAAGATAGGGCTTTATAAAACAAGAATTAAACTAGGTTAACCTGCAGGCCCATGTCATGTGGAACGGGAATGCATGAGCAAGTGCCATTCTGCAAGTGATATACTCCTCTGGCTCTACCTTCATGGGATCATTAATGTGAAAAAGGACCTTAAAGTATTACAGACCTCTTAGTGGTTCTCAAACTTCAGTGTGCATCAGAATTACTGGAGAACAAGCACTTGAAAAAATGCTCAACATCATTAGCCATCAAGGAAATGAAAATCAAATCCACAATGAGAAACCACTTCACACCCACTAGAATGGCTATAATCAAAAAGATAATAACGGGGCTGGCTCTGCGGCTGAGTGGTTAAGTTCGCGCGCTCTGCTTCAGCAGCCCAGAGTTTTGCCAGTTCGAATCCTGGGTGCGGACATGGCACCACTCATCAAGCCATGCTGAGGCAGTGTCCCACATGCCACAACTAGAAGGACCCACAACTAAAAATACACAACTATGTACCAGGGGGCTTTGGGGAGAAAAAGGAAAGATAAAATCTTTAAAAAATAAATAAATAAATAAAGGAGGGTTAAAAAAAGATAATAATGAATATTGGCAAGGATGTGGAGAAATTGTAACTCTTTTACACCGCTGATGGGAATGTAAAATGGTTCAGCCACTTTGGTAACAGTCTGTTACTTCCTCAATAAGTTAAATAGAGAGTTACTATATGACCCAGCAATTCCACTCCTGAGTTAAAGAGTAGATGTATGTCCATACAAACACTTGTATATGAATGTTCATAGCAGCATTATCCTTAATACTCAAATGTGGAAACAACCAAAATGTCTATCAACTGACGAATGGATAAACAAAATGTAGTATACCCATACCATGGAATATTATTTGGCGATAAAAAGAAACAGAGTACTGATACATGCTGTAACATGGATGAACCTTAAAAACATTATGCTAAGTGAAAGAAGCCTGTCATAAAGACCACATATTGTTTCATCCCGTTTATGTCGTATTTCCAGAACAGACACATTTATAGAGACGGAAAGTAGATTAATGGTTGCCTAGGGCTGTGAGAGTTGGGGGAAAATGGGGAGTGACTGCTAATGGATATGGGGTTTCTTTTTGGTATGATGAAAATGTTCTAAAATTGATTGGGTGATGGTTGCACAACTCTGTGAATATACTAAAAACCATTGAATTGTATACTTTAAATGGATGAATTGTATGGTATGTGAATTATACCTCAATAAAACTGTTGTAAAAAATAATCACTAGGGAACTTGATAAAAGTATAGAGGTCAGGTCCTACCTTACTACAACAAGCCCAGACCTCTGTATTCTTTATTAGTTCTCCAGGTGGTTCTGAGAACCACTATTTTAGACCAGAGGTCAGTAAACATTTTCTGTAAAAGGCCAGGTAGTAAATATTTTAGGCTTTGTAAGCCATAAAGTCTCTATCACACTTACTTTATTCTGCTGTTCTAGTGTGAAAGCAGCCATAGACGATTTATAAATGAATGGAAGTGGCTGTGTTCTGAAAAAACTTTATTTACAAAAATATGTGGCTAGTTGGATTTGGCCCACAGGCATAGTTTGCCAACTGTTGTTATAGACTAATCTGCCTGACACAGGACTTCTTGGATGAGAAGTCATTCAGCCTCTTCTGGAATACCTATATAGGAGGGGATGATGATGATGATGATGATTATATTTTTACAAAGCTGGGGCACAAAATTCTTCCTCATATAGAATTGATACATATTTTCCAGTAATTTCCAAGGCTGCTAGTTCTGCCATATGGCAACATCTAAATCTTTTACTCGACAACTCTCCCTCAGTTCATTCTAACATCATTTGTAATATGATCACTTCCTGGATGTCACGTCCAGTTTGTAAGTATGCTAACTGGAAATGAACACAATACTCTAGATGTGATCTAATCAACAGTTATATATACCTTTCATGTTCTAAATCTTTTAAACATACACTATCCAATATGGTAGCAACTAGCCACACATGGCTATTTAAATTTAAATTAATTAAAATTAAACAAAATTATAAATTTAGACCCTCAGTCATACTAGATATATCAGGTCTTTGTAGCCACATGTGGCTAATGGCTACTTTATTGGACAGCACAGATAGAGAACATTTCCATTATCACAGGAAGTTCTACTGGACAGCACTGTTGTAGATTCTGTTTCCTTAATGCAGCCAATGTTTAAATTAACTCTTTTCTGGCGGGCACATCATGTAGTGAGTTTATTTGGCTTACAAAACTAGATCTTTACAATATCAATTGCTCTTAATCTCTGAATTTCACATCCTCTACTTTTTTGGTTGAATAAGTACCCAATAGCCATACTAAAAGGAAAAAAACCTCAGTTTTTCTCTCCTATTGTAGGGAAAAACCTAGTTCTTCCCTACTTTCTGTTTTTCTCACGTGTGTTTCTTTCCTGTGAGTCTCTTTTAGTACTAACAAAACATTTCACTTCTGGTCACCAAATATGTAGAGACTTTTCCAGACACCAGGCAAGTCTCTGTGACACCAGCTGGATGTCCTACAATTCAGCTCAATTCTGACACTATCTACCTGGAGATAACATCAAATCCCACAGTTTAAGGGCTCAGTCCCACAAGAGTTCCCCCCCCACACATACACACTTCAGACACCAGTCACAAGCCCAGGATATCACCTGTGTTTCTGACTAACTGGATATAGATCAGAGATTCCAACAACCTCCTTGGGTTCTGTTAATTTGCTAGAGCAGCTCACAGAACTCAGGGAAACACTTACATTTACCGGTTTATTAAAGGATGTGATAAAGGATACAGATGAACAGCCAGATGAAGAGATACATGGGCGAGGTCTGGGAGGATCCCAAGCATAGGAGCTTCTGTCCCTGTGGAGTTGGGTGCAGCACCCTCCCAGTGTGGATGTGTTTGCCAGCCTGGAAGCTCGCTGAACCCTGCACTATTGGGATTTTATGGAGGCCTCCTCACATAAATATGATCAATTATTAATTCCATTTCCAGTGCCTCTCCCCCCTCTGGAGGATGGTGGGGATGGGGCTGAAAATTCCAAGCTTCTAATCATGGCTTGGTCTTTCTGGTGACCAGCCCCCATGTAGGAGCCATCCAGGAGCCCACCCAGAGTCACCTCAATAGTACAGAAGATGCTCCTGTGCTCTTATCATTAAGGAATGTACAAGCGTTTTAGAAGCTTTGTGTCAGGAACAGGGTCAAAAACCAAATATTAGAATAAGAGATGCCCCTAGTGTTCTTATCACTTAGGAAATTGCAAGGGTTTTAGGAGCTCTGTGCTAAGAACTGGGGGTGGAGAGCAATATTTTCTATTATCTTACACATACTTTATAAGCTATTAAGTTTCAATCTGATTGTTACAGCCTTGTTTTTTTCCCTTGTTCTTATCTTTGTGAATTTCAATTCTATCATGCAATGTATTAACTACTTCTCCCAGTTTACGGCACCATCAGGTTTTGTAGGCATGCCACCTGTTTCATCCAATTCAGAGTGGCAAACTTTTTCTTAAAGGACAAGCTAGTATATATTTTAGATTTGTGGGCCACACAGTTTCTGTCACAACTCAACTCTGTCATACTGCAAAAGCAGCTATGGACAATACGTAAACAAATGTGTGTGGCTGTGTTCCAATAAAACTATTTTTCTAGTTTTCTTTTTTTGCGGTAAAATAGACACAACATAAAATTTACCATCTTATCCATTAAGTATACACTTCAGTGGTATTAAATACATTCATATTCTACAAACATCTTCACAATCCATCTCCAGAATTCTTTTCATCTTGCAAAACTGAAACTCTTTACTCATTAAACAATAAGTCCCTATTACCTTCTTCTCACAGCCCCTGGCAAACACCATTCTCCTTTCTGTCTCTATGAATTTGACTACTCTAGGTGCCTCATATAAGTGGAATCATACAGTATTTGACTTTTTGTGACTAGTTTATTTCACTTAGAATAATGTCCTCAAGGTTCATCCATGTTGTAGCATATGTCAGAATTTCCTTCCTTTTTAAGGCTGAAGAATATTCCATCGTATGTATATACTACGTTTTGTGTGTGTGTGTGTGTGTGTGTGAGGAAGATTTGGCCAAGCTAACATCTGTGCCAGTCTTCCTCTACTTTATGTGGGATGCCACCACAGCATGGCTTGACAAGTGGTACTAGGTCCGCACCCGGGATCCGAACCTGTGAAGCCCAGGCCTCTGAAGCGGAGCACTCAAACTTAACCACTACATCACCACGCCGGCCCCTATACCACATTTTCTTATCCATTCATCTGCTGATGGAAGATCAAACTTCCACATTTTAGCTATTGTAAATAATGCTGCTATGAACACAGGGGTAAGAATATCTCTTTGAGAACCTGCTTTCAGTTCTTTTGGGTATACACCCAGAAGTGGAATTGCTGGATAATATAGTAATTCTATTTTTAAGTTTTTGAGTATACTGTTTTCACAGTGGCTATACCATTTTACATTCCCACTAACAGTACACAAGGGTTCCAATTTCTCCACATCCTCGCCAATTCTTGTTGTTTTCTCTTCTTTTGGTAGTAGCCATTCTAATGTGTGCGAGGTGGTATCTCATGTGGTTTTGCTTTGCACTTCCCTAATGCCTAGTGAGGTTGACCATCTTTTCATGTGATTTTTGGCCATTTGTATATCTTCCTTGGAGAAATATCTATTCAAGTCGTCTGCCCGTTTTTTAATCAGGTTGTTTGCTTTTTTGT